GTAATAAGTTTTGGTTATCATGATATTATAAAGGATAAAAAGGACTAGATCTACTTCGTTCCATTTCAAGGGGATTTCGTCTCGTCAAGACAAGATTCTGACCAAGAACTTCAACATTTCTGTTGCCAAGGGGCATTACATCTACTGGGCATGAGTTGGACTGCTCCCCAAAGCCTCTTAGAAAATCTAGTGACAGGATAAGGAAGGGGTAGATAATGTGATGGTGATTGATATCTAAAATTGTTAGTTGTAATTGGTGATTCATTTTGAATTAAGCTGTCACCTAAGCCTGCTTAAGCTACTAATAAAAATACACATTAAATTTTGTTGGCATTTGTGGACATTGAAATTAATTCTGAGTCAGGAATTAGTAATATTGCTTCTGAATTATGGTAAAATCTATGTACAATGGTTCTAGGAAGATGGTGGCGCCGTAGGTTTCTTTGGTGATGAATAAATAATGACCCTGGGGTTCAAGTCGAGCCACTAAACTTGATCTGGTCTGTAACAAATGCTTTAAATTTGCCGTTAACAAAAGTGATTGTTGAGGTTACGCAACCGCGAGAGCTACTCGGTTGATTGGCTTAATAATTGAAAAGGGCCATAGCTTTTGGATTGGAGGCAGTTAAAGGCTAGATGCTTCTTTCCCGCCGCCAACTTATACAGAAGGTCTTCTAGGCTATCTATGTAGTAAATGTACCAGGATCTAGAGTCTTTCCCGACCCGTTAGTTGGAGAACTAGTCAATAGTCGGTCCATGAGAATTGAGAGGATTAAGGTGGGGCTGGCCATTACGCAATAACCACAAAAGCCACGACACACAGAGACTTATCCAGTAGATGAGCTCCAAATGTCCCCCTCCTTGTGTTAAGCTGCTCCAGACAAGAGACGTTGTTAGAATGATTTGGGACCAATTCCATGTGCAGGTGTTGGTCTGCACTACATCGTTTTAAGTCCAAACTCAGTGGAGCTCGTCTTTCTTCCAGGAGGAAAAGCCCCCTCACCCACTTTAATAACCACAACGTCACTGTTTGATTGGTAGCAACTGCTTTCCATTGGTGTTGATATTTAATTAGAATTTTGAACTTATTTGAAATTTCAGGGAAACTGAATTATATTTTTATCTGCAAATAAACTTTCCATGTCAAGTTTACTTGTATAGAATAATTTAACAAGGAAGCTCAAAGTCTTTTACAAGACAAAAACATAACACAGTAAACGAATAAAAAAAAACCTGTTATTTGGTAAAATATGGAAAAGTAAGTCATAGTTATATACACCATAGACCTAATCTGTGCTGTTGAATTTCTGCAGGTGAAGTTTTGCAGTAAAGTAAAACAATAAATAAATAAAATTCAAATACAAATAATTGCACAGAATAAAAATTCTGTTTTACATTAAATGTTTTAAAAAAGTCTTTATGATGAGGATATTTGTCTTGCAAGGACTTATGTTTTGTATAAAATTCTTGCATCCTGTGTTTAATGTGCAGTGTAAAATATGCAACTGTTAGAGGTCATTACAGTACCTTTAATAAATGAATAGAAATCTGAGTTAAATCTGAGAATGGGTGAGGGTGTCTGACGTTTGATCTGGAGGGATTGTCTTCCAGGTCCAGACTTACAGGCTACTTTGGAACAAATGGTCATAAAAACTCGAACAAATGCTCAGACCTTGCTCAGAGTCTGTACAGAATGAGTGTGTATGAGAAATAAATGAAAACAAAAGGGTGGGGAACACAGATATGAGTGCATAGCTTGATTTTTGGTGCATTCAAACACAGCTTTAGACACAAATAACTTCAAACAGATTGCAACATTAAGGCGTCAAGACTGAAAATAACAATCTTAGCACACAAATCAACAAGTCGTCAGCAAGAGGGATCATATAAACATGCATATAAGAAAGACAACTGAATTGTCTAATTCAGCTGTCTGAGCTCCGACACAAACAAAACTACATTTCCTACTTGTGATTCGTAATGATGTCCGGTGGCTGGTCGAGTAAATAGACGCCCAACATCTCTCTACCTTCATAAACTGAATATTTAAACGATAAATGATTTTCAGCTTCTGCACTTGTTCCTGCTGTCTGCGTTTGAATAAATACATCCACAGTCTCTTTCATCTCTGTCACCTCTGCCTCATCCTTCATTTACCCTCTGGAAAAAAAACAAAAAAAACAAGCATAATATCCTTAGTTTTAGAAACATGACATCGAGCTGGCTTCCATGGTGCTAATTACAGTAGCTGTGGATTAACAGCCTAATGTGCTGGGAATATGGGTAATGAGCAGTGGAGCTACTTTGAACTGAGAAGCAGCTACAAAGCCGATAAATTGTACAGTTAAAACAACATGCAAAATGGGCCATTACTAACTAACTACTATGACAGGGTATATTTTTAGTCTGGGAAACAGGTGTTTTTCTGTTTTTTATTATACTCAAAGGGTTATTTGGGTAACTAGGTGGTGATGCTTAATGCAACGACAACAAAACTCTTACCTTTATTTCAGCGTAAGCTTATCTAGAACCAAGAAAAAGTATTAAACCACTAATTTTTAAAAAATACTTTGCTTCTAGAAGTCTATGTTTGCAATTGATCAAAGTGGTCTTCATAAATATTTCTCTAGTTTTATTACTGTACCTGCCAATAATATGTAGTGATACAATATGCGAAGCAAAGTCCTGAGGCAGAATCTGAGGGAAACGTCATCCTTTTGTGAACCCATCTGCTATAAATCCAGGTTTCATCTAATAGCTTCTGGATAATACCTTCTTGTTGCCAAAGTAATGTTTTATGGACGTCAAACTATTACTGCTTACTATTTACATATTTATTTGCTAAGGTGTTTGTGTTGAAAACGCACTGGTTGGAAATCTAGCAGCTTTCCCTATACGACCATGAGTAATAGAAAGGTAGAGGTGCACATAGATTTAATGGTACATTCATAAAATATAACAATAAATCAGACTTCCATTGCACTGAATCTTCCTCAACTGGTGTAGGACTATTTAAAGCAGCATGTCCTACAGGCATAATCCAAACAGAATCTTGAATCCAAAATTGTGTGCAAACTGTAGTACAAAGTTTAAAAGGTTATCACATTAGGGTCAACAAGTCAGCAGGAAAGGTTCGGTGGCTCAGCACATGTTTTAAAACATACATTTTCTTAAAACATATTCAGAGAATAAATACATTTCTTCTTAACTGATTTTCACATCTGGGCCGCTTATCCACTTTCAGTTGTCGTTTTAGGAAACACACTGTTCTTTAATTAATCCACCTGTTTTTAAGCTCTCTATGTGAATGAAAAAAATTGCAATCAGCTATTACAGTATATATACAGTTGAGGCTGAGGCAGAGGTATAAAAAAAATCTAATCTTCAAGTTCTTAAACTTGCCATACAAGTCAGCAAGGTTATCACAGGTCCTTCGTCCCAGTAGCTGTCAGATTTTACAACCATCACTGCTCCCAACAAAATCAATAAGTATTTACATATGCTGGCATTTGCACAATCAACTACTCTATTCTTACTCACTTAAAAAAAAAAAATCATGTCTGCTGTTATTGTACATCTGTTTTTTTTTCCTGTATTGAACCCCCCCCCCCCCCCCGGAATACTCTCTTTTTTTTACTGTTCAATAAACATGCATGTTAAGTAGTATGAGTATGTAGTATGATATTCCTGTTTTAATTTGGAAGGTCCATATGAAAGTACAACAAAACTAAATGAGGAGTTACTCATTTTGTTACTCGTGTGTTAATCTCTGTTTTTACAAAGTGACAGTTATATGCAGAAGTTTTTTTTTTCTGTTTTTTTTCCTGTCCAACTCTGTCATCTTGGTTTGTCGTTATGTTATGCCGTTACTTTGGATTGCGTGTAAAGCAAACACAACACTGTGGAAAGATCCATCTTCTTTGTTGCTGCAACAACAACAACAACAACAACAACAACAAAAATCACTCTGACAGATTATCAGTAATTAAAAGGAACACAGACCTGATGGGACACACTTTTAATTTGGACTTTCAGTAATTAATCCATGTGTGTTAATCTCCAAGTTCCTCCACTGCTCAGTAGTACAGAATGGCATTTTGCAGTTCAAGAAACATGAAGTTCTCTTTTATGCATGCACTTCACTAGACCTAAATTATGGCCAAATTAAAAAAAAATGCCCTTTATAAAATATTTAAAAGGCATAACCTGACATAGTTTCTACTGACTGCATGTGCATTTTAGCGTTTAATTAATTTATTATTTGGCTCCTTGAGAAAGTGCGAGAAAGTGCCTGTGAATCTGATTTGCCCCCAATAGGAATCTATGTACTAACAAAGGCCTTTCTTGGGAATGCTAATGTGATCATTATCAAACCACAAGGATGCCAAATTTTCTGCTCTGTCTATAGAAACCCCTAATAAAGCCAGGGTCTGAACTGGGAGGAGGGAAAAATGCCCTTTTTGTTGCTGTCTGCGTTATTTGTTGCTACAGGGGTCTCACTGCTATTCTTATTCTAATTGAGGTTCTCCTTCTCCGTTTCTCCCATGGAAACTCTGGTTCCCAGAGCAAGGACCCCAGTCTCTCACTGAGCCACTGCCACCCAGACAGCCAGGCTGAGTGGCAGAGAGGGAGGCAGCGATGGAGGGAGGAGTCTGGAGCTCCATCCACTGACTGCTGTGTGTGCTGTAAGTGGGATGAGCAAGAGAGAAAGAGAGGGAGAGGAAAGAGAGAAGAGGAGGAGGAGGAGGATGGGAAGGGGGGGGCAAGTGAGGGCTGGAGACTGAGAATGGATGGGGGACGCAAAACAGTGCGAGCGAGAGAGGAAGAGTGAACGTGCGTATTCTGAAAGTCAGCATTGAGGACGCAGAAAGTCCACAAGCTCACATCAGCAGAGGAGAGAAGCGTGAGGCGGATCGGGGCACCCAGCCACTCTGAAGAGTCAAACACACAGCAAAGAGCCGTTCAGGGAGAAGGAGAAGAGGAAGAGTACGCGGAAGAAGAGAAGGACAGAAAACAGCGTTCCTCTGGTAAAAAAAAAAAAAAAAGAGGAGACGCCACTGAGGGACTGTAGTATCGTCCAGAAGCGCACAGGAGCACTGTCTCATCTTGTCAATTTCTTTGTACCTGCCAACTCGAATTTCACACTCGCCTACTGTTTCCCGTAGGTTTTGACCTCTCCAATCTCCCCTGCCATGATCTCCTGGGTGCTCCTGCTCCTATGGATCTCCGGACATAGTAAGTTTTCCCCAGATAAACTTGCTAATTTTATGTCATCTTCCTTGCTTGCGATGGCTGTGTGACTCTCTGGCTGAGAGCCTTGTCCTCTGACTTCATCCCTTGCTGTGACGTGTGAGCTTTTTGTTGCCTTCTGTGTTTCTCTTGACCGGATTTCTGCACAGTACTGCCATGTGCACTTTGATGTCTGATGCGATCAGGAGAGGAGGGAATCAGGAGGGAAAATGTCTGTGTGGATCCTGTGGTATGGAGGTGCCACTTTGTACATGTGGGGTTTGTGTCGCTTTCAGACACTGAAAGGCTAAATACTTCCTATGTGGCTTTATTATTCCTGTCACACACTCCCACACAAACACACACACAGAAAGAAGCCCTTTAACCCCAGTCGGGTTCAGTCAAGCGTTCACTCCTCCGTCACTTTGTTTTGAGCTGACAGACCCCTCCCCGTTGAATCCTGCTACGGGGGGGTCTGGTTTAAAGAATGGAGCCTGAAAAAGTTAACAGAGCATCAGAGGTTAGAGCTTGGCAGCTCGAGCCTTTCGGACAGTGTCTGTTGTTGTTTTTGTTCTTGGACAGTCTTTTGGTCCATAGAGTGAGGATGGATTAGTTGTATTCCCTGATTGCCACCAGGTGGTTGCCTTAAGGGGAAATTAAAAAGAATAAAAGGACCAAAGTACAGTCAAACTCTCCACCTGCGATGCGTGGACGGCTGAGTTAGGCAGCGGCGTGTTTGTCACTTCGCGGCAACACACCGACACGCAGCAAGCTGGCTCCGGTTTGCACTTCTCTGGGGTCAGGGTCAATGACAAAACCACTTTGTCGAGCTCGCCCCCGCTTGGTCTGAAGGAATGTTGATTTTTCCAGACAGAGATGTAACCTTTGATCCGGAGGAATCACTGAAAGCAGGCTAAATTCCTTTCTGCTTCAATCTGCAGTGACTTTGTTGACGTTTTTCGCGGCAGCCTTCGACTCAGTCGGGTGCACGCTGCTAAAACAGCGGCAACACATAACACTCGGTAAACAAATCATTTGCTCCGTCGCTGACTTCAGCTGTTCCGCGTCTTGATTTATCGTCTGTAACACAGAACATTGCTTATAAAACACAACCAATTTACTCAGAGTATGTTTTCCGCTGACTGAAGTTTTATGTAGAAACGGTTTGGAAATCATTCATCAATTTGAAACTGACGGGGGGGCCAGGAGGGTGCTGGAGTTTCTAAGCATTGCTCAGCATCGCTTTTTAAATGAACAGCTTTGGATTCCTCGTATCGAGACAGTGTGAGGTTGGCCAGAGTTAGTTAGCGTTGCAGGACAGTTACAGAACATCACACTCTGCACCTCAAAAGCTGCGTTTGTGTTTTTCCTTTGCTGCTTTCTGGTCCCCCTGAATTCACCATCAACTCTTCCTGCACCATCTGCACTTACTGTGTCACAAAAATACATCATCAGTCATTGGTTTCCTTTTTCCCACTCTATTATGCGTCTTCTAAATTTGCTGCTGCTGCTGCTGCTTTATACAGTCGAGAGAAAGCGTGTGCTCATTTATAGTTGTAATGGACTTCAGAAGCTGATGCTTTTATTTACTTATGTAAGCGCATTTTGCCTTAGTTTATTAAGCTTTATACATCACAATTTCATGCACATATTATCACAGGTTTAGTCCCAGTCCTGGGAACAACTAACACCGTATCTCATTTCACTGGAATGGGATAACTGCTGCAACTGGACTGAAATGGGATTGCGGCGCATTTCAGCAAAGTCAGTTATTACCATAATATAAAATATCACTTCCCCCACCAGGTAAACAAGATATAACAACCAACCGTCTCTTTGCATGCCTCCAGGGAGAAGGAGAAGTGCTTCCCCAAAGCTTTCTGTTGTACAAATTACGGCTCTGTTTATGTGTCGAGCCGGTGTCAGCAGAAAGCTGCGGGGGGAAAAGAAACAATCTTGTTTTTATGAACAGGGGGAAAGAGAGAGTTGTCGTCCAAGCAGTCATATACTTACTTATACGCAGCTGTCCTGTGAGACAGCCACGAAGAGTGTGAAAATGAGGGACTGAGTAGGAGACAGGGGGGTTCTTATTCAGACAGAAAAAGTCTGGAAATA